GTCTCTTTCTATCGCGTGCCTCTGAACTCTTCTTACGCTGTTAGGGTTGCTGTCTAGTGAAAAAATAATTAATCTACTTATTTGTAATGAGGTACGTATGTAGGTAAGTAAGTATTACTGTTATTTTACANTTCTGGTTCTTAATTATTTATATTTGGCGAGAAATTCTTGTAACAGCAGCAAATTAAATTAACCAGACATTTTTAACTCAAAAAGCACCACATTCTTATAATACACGCAAAACCTAGAGGCAAAATCCAAAGTCAAAGTGGAGAGTACCTACCTTTATTCATCATCATCATCGTCTCAGCCATAGGCTGAAAATAGACCTCCCCCAAAGTTTTCCATGTTGCCCGGTTACTTACTAAGGTATTTTGCCCAGTAGAGTTGGTGTTACACATTTTTATTTCGCTAAAATGGATCTATTTATTTATTTGGTTTCAGATTTTTGAAAGACAACCAATCTCCGTAATATACGTTTTGCAATCGCTTATTCAGACGCTTACTAATCGACTAACCACATAAAAATCCGTATGTAAGTCCGGAAATATCGTAATGGACAGTATCCCTACAGTGGCGCTTCCCTAGCCGTGGTACCTACTTAAGCACTTGCGGTATGAGACCGCAGTGTTTGTCCCTGTACCCTTCCGTATAAAGTGCAACTATATGAGCTGAGCTTATACTGAAATACCTACGTTACGGACATTACGGATCTACGGATACATTAGCAGATATTTCGTTACGGTATATATACATACCTACCGACACATGCTTAAGTGGCTTTTGAGTTTCANGTCTCCCCTACTAGTTTTCCTTATGACGTATACTGAACTTAATGCATCTAAGAGTATAAAGTTTCTTACACAATGGCACAAAATAGTTTAGAATTACCATGTCAACAGGCAGAAAATGTGATTAGGCTCCCAGACACTTTAATGTACTGTCATTTCATCCTTTGGTAAAAGTTCAGTAATGATATTCTAAATCGGGGACATTCAAATAAACTTGTCGCACTATAAACGTCATTCTTTCATTTGAAGCACCACACTGTCAATATCTGGTCCGCACAAAGAGTTCGACTGTCGACTGATGTGTTAAGTTACGTCTAGTTACGTCATCATCATCGTCATCATCTCAGCCATACTGAACATAGGCCTCATGCAATGCTTTCCATGTTGCCCGGTTGGTAGCGGTCGGTCCACCTTGTGGGTGGACGTCCCACGCTGCGTTTTCCGGTATGCAGCCTCGACTCTAGGCCGTCAGTTCTGCTTGCTAATCCATCGTGCTATGTCAGCGACTTTAGTTCGTTTACGCCTAGTTTATGGCTAGGTAATTGCTATGATGGTTGGATGAATCCTTGTTTATCCTTCTCGTATTGCTTTAAAGACGTGGCATTATAAAATTGATAAACGACTGCACCCGCTTGTTTTCAACTCTAATGGGGAAATAAAGAAAGACCGCTTACGAATTGAGACCGTTTCTGTTTTATCTTTGCAGTCTTTTGAGGATTACAATGATATACTGCGGAATTATTGCCCGGGTGAGAGGCGGGTTATTATTTTTGCAGTTGGAAGGATACGGGAGTCGAAAGAAAAGCGATGGAAGTGTGGAAATTAGGGAGGTGACAACATAAAATATCGATTACCTACTAGACTACTAGTATTATGGATAAATGTGAAAGTTGGCGAGGATTGATGGATGTTTGTTATTGTTTCACGCAAAAACTACTGGACGAATTTTGAAGAAACTCAAAGGGTTTTGTAACAAACTGGATTACGCGAGCGAAGCCGCGGGCAAAAGCTAGTAAAATATACGTTGGAACGAAAACAACTAAAATAAAGCTATACATACAGTTTCAAGAAAAAGTATTTCTAAACTGTAAGACTGATTATAACATAATAAATACCTACGTTCGAGTGAGGATCATCTATTTTCAAAAACTACTCTAGCAAATATCAACACAGGGATCGCAACTATCGCAAGCGAGTTTATTAGCATAAGCGTAGATATCATAATAAAGTCGATAAACATTAATGTAGAACATTCGCGACGTAAGCTAAGGATGGGCATCGTAAATATCGATTACCAAACTTCTCGAATTAACTTAATCGATTGTAGCCAGTGGACAGTACCGTTGTGTGGTTGCTCGTGGGTATCTCCAGGGAATTATGTGGGAGGAAACAAGTTTTGTTCCTGTTCTATATTGANTTAATCTATATATATAAAAATGAAACCCGTTTCGCGTTGTCACGGCATCACGTGTGAACGGCTGAACCGATTTCGATAATTCTTTTTTTTAAATGTTTGTGGAAGTCCAAGGATGGTTCTTACGGAAAAAAATATTAAGAAAATCTCTACGCTAAGGCGGTACGAAGTTCGCCGGGTCAGCTAGTTAAATATAGAACACAAATTTTGTGATGATTGGAACCTACTAGTTGCTAGATGAAACGGATAATCTTATTACTTCATGTAAGAAGAAGTTTATCGACTTTCATGATAGGTAGAGAAGAAAAAGGAGAAAAATACAAATTTGGATTTATTACGTCTTTTCATTCAAAAGATTGAATTGAAATTATTTGATTTTACTGTTTTCAAATCTTTAAAACTTCATACGATTCTTATTGAACTTCATAATATGATTTGTGCAAAACTGTATGGGCATTGTACATGTATTGAAATGTGTTTTTTATAAAACAATCTCAAGAAAATTATAGCGTGTGGGGTGATGTAGCATTGCCAACATTGGTAATACTCGATATTTTTCGTTTTAAAAATTATCGATGTGAAATATGACCCATCACTATCAATGAGATATCTATCTCATAACTCATTAGTTTACACAAATATGTTAGTTAGTCAGATCTGAGTCAGCTAAGCCTGTTTGTTCTAATCAACGTTCTCAAATATGCTTTCTAATTTCGTTGACAATCGGTAATGTTTAAACTGGAAATATTGTTTATTTTCATCGCGTGGTAAATAACACTGTATTTGAACTGTTTAACACATATTTACAAAGCATTATTTAGATTCAGTGGTTATTGTAGCTGTCATTGGGAATTGTTTGTTGACACAGTGAGGTCAAAAAGCGACATCTGACACCAAATACTCAGCCCGTTTTTTAACTGGTTTGGTATAAAACTTTTCGTTTAAAAAAAATTACGTTTCATTTGGTAGCTAACATTATTTTGTTAGGGGAATAATGTGACTTCTCTTGGCACGAGGCACGACATAATAGGCAAGGGTGCTCAAAAATGAGATTTATTCAGAGCGAAGTAAACTGCATGTTTTAGGAGAAGAAGCCAATTTAAAAATATGCGATAGTGAAGTGAGACCTCAACTTCATTCCTCTAGACATTGTTGTTATAAAAATTTTAAAAGTTAGATAAAAAATTGCAGATTTACATGAATTTATCGCATTAAAATCGATAAGGATCGATTATTATCGATTAAAGTCGAAATAAAATTAAATTTTACAAAACACCTTAATAAACCAATAGCTTTTTTTTGTAATTAGTGATGTCACACGTTTAGATTTCTCGATAAATTTAACCCATTTCACTTCTTACATCTAATACGAGTAAAAACTACAAACTTCCTTCTCAAAACGGTGTTCATTAGTAGGTACGTGCTCAAGTAACCCTAGTGCCTGTAAAGTGTTCTTGGACCCTTAACTGGAAACGTGGGTCAAATAAAAACACGGCATTACAGAAAGAATCTCAAATAAGGATCGGCTTGCGTAGGGTTGTAGCATTTAGTATCGATTTATTAATGTGACGAACGCCTGAATTAGTTGCAAGTTTGAATATTGATTATCTGATCGCTATAGCTAAAATAACTGCTATAAGCGTAGACGTAGAGATTATGATTGATATGATAGTTAAAAACTTCCATTCTTAAACGCTTATAAATCAGTTGTACTAAAATATCGATAACGAGAAAGCTTTAACACTATCTAAATTAGAAAAGTTATATCGATACTAACACCGCGATGGTGGTAATATCGATGTTATTTCGCATAAGTTAACGGTGTTATCGTAAAATTGTGACAATCCCGTCGACCATTAATCTTCAATAACGATAGCACAATATTTATGTCGATAGATTATCGATATTATTGATAAACAATAGGTTTCCAAACAACACTATTCCGTTCACACAGATTCAAACTATCTCACGACATGGAAAATTACATTTTAAAACACTTTTATTCTTTGGATACCTACTCACTATAATTGAGAATGTGTGCGTGACTTGGGTAACGAATGATAGTGCTGGGATGAGAATTTTTCATCTGCTGCCTTTGCCGTTGTTTTCATGAGTGCTCGGGAATTTTCATGGTTTGAAAAATGCTCTTTGGGACTACTTTTTACTTAGTTTATCTACGTATCTCGTAAAATCTTACTAATATAATACAGCTGAAGAGTTTGTTTAGTTGAACGCGCTAATCTCAGGAACTACTGGCCCGGTTTGAAAAAGTATTTTTGTTTCGGATAGCTCATTTATCGCTATAACCAAAAGAAGGCTAAGTCCTATGCTGGAAAAGGCCTTTCACGGATTTCCACAACAAGAGGTCCTACGCTTCTTCTTCTTGTCGTGTTGACAACAAACCTACATAAGTTAGCTCAAGAGTCTGCTACAAGAGTGGCGTTGTCAATAATAGCCTTTATTAAATTTTCCTGTGCTGCCCGTATCTTCCCGCCCTTGACCTTCACCAGATCTTAGTTTACCCACTAGATCTTAGTTCGTTCGTTCGTTCGTTTGAGCCGAAAGACGTCCACTGCTAAGCTGGACCGACGATCTGGTGAGGGTTGCGGGAGGTGCCTGGATGCGAGCGGCGCAGGACCGGTCTTTATGGAAATCCTTGGGGGAGGCCTTTGTCCAGCAGATTTTAGTACCTACTATTTATTGTAAAAGTACTTATATTGTATAAGTAGTTTACCTACTTACTTATTCAATTAATGTCCACGCTCCTCACTAACATTAGTATTTGCTCTTTTCAGGAGTCGAGTTTGTGATCGCTGGATTTTAGTGTGCAAGCCATACGTCTGGACGGCTGCCAAAGGTAGGTCGTAGTAGTAAGATCTTCACAATTTAGTTTACTAAGAGCACGTCGTTTTGGGATCTTATGAATGGGCCAAATTGATAACGTGTTTTTGGTATGAAACTAGTGCCCGTATTCACAAACATTACTATAAGGCGTGGATGCACAGGGTGACACACGAACCAATCACAGAGCTCTATTCAACGCTCTGCGTTCGATTTGCTGCTTCACTTAAGCGAGCATCGTTTGTGAATACGGGCGTAAGCTATTTTATAACATGGTATTGAACTAGGTATTTTTAAGGTCATAGCACACTTATCAACCCGGAAAGGGATCAACACCTTATTGTCTAATGTCACGCTGTCAACCACGAGGCGAGGCGTTTACGTTAGCGCTCCTGCACACGACGCCGCTACCGCGCCGCCGCCGCGCCGTCGCCGCGCCTTTGCACTGTTTGTACGCGCTCGTGAACACCGCTGCCGCGCCGCCGCCACGCCGCGGGCGAAATTATGCTTTGATGGCGCGGTGGCGGCGCGGCGGTGGCGCGGCGGCGGTTTTACTCGGTGCGTATGAACAATGTAGTGGCGCGGCGATGGCGCGGCGGCGGTGCGGTGGCGGCCTCATGTGCAGGAGCCCTTATAGTGCGGATAAGTGTGCGTTGCAGTACGGAGTTTCATACAGAGAACACTGACCGCCTCGAGTTGATACGGTTGCGATCCGTTTCCAGGTTGATAAGTGTGTTTCGTCCTTTAATAGTTGTAGGATACGATGATTGTTTATTTCTTTTCCTTAAAGGTTAACACAGGTTAATTAACTTTTTTTATACTTAATTAACCTTAATAATTGGAATTACAATTCGATTAATTCCAAGGAACTTCAAAAAATATTAATAAAGTATTTTTTGAATTTCTCGAAAATTAATAAGTTCTTTGATTAGGTAAAATAAATGTTAAATTATATACTTATTCAAGTGTAAGGTAAAACGTATTTCTGGTAGGTACTTAATTTAGGTACAAGCTTTGCTTAATTTGGGACTCTATGGTGTCGTGTAAAATTTTCAAGGATATTTACTTATTTTTATAATTGTTATATTTTTATGTCATTTTCTTAGCTACGAAAATATTTAAGTCAATTCAGTTAACGAGTGAGCTGTGAATTTAAATTGCGTATTGTCTTTAAATTCTAAACAATAGGGCGATTCTAAATACGCCTCTTTTACAAACAAAAGGCAATTATTTATCAGAAAGCGATTGCCTCCAAAATGAGGGATTTAGCTTTTATTCTGCACATAGCATACAGAACCGCCCATCAACCACGCCTATAACCATAAATAAGATTTATAACGGACCAGTGGAAAAACTGTCAGTCGTTTAAATAAATATCGCCTTTTTGGGTCATAGGTGGACTAGTGTTTTGGACGGTTTGTACGGGAATTTTTGAAAAATATTTAGACGTCATTNGATAGGTATTTTTTTCAAATAGAAATTGTGAAAAAAATCGCTATGTCCATAAATCTCAATTTCGCTCCATAGTGCGCCGCCGCGCCGCCACCGCTCCATCAAAGCATAATTTCGCCAGCGGCGCGGCGCGGCGGCGGCGCGGCAGCGGTGTTCACGCGGCGCGTATAAACAGTGCAAAGGCGCGGCGGCGGTGTCGTGTGTAGGAGCGCTTACACTGGGTTGGGGACGTGACAGAATCCTGGCTGGGACAAACGTCAAAAATCTGTCAAACTCCATACAAAAAACACCGGTTATCATTAAAGTTACGGTCATAGTTAGGTGGTGCAACTCAGCCTTATTTTCAGTATATAGGGTAAAATCTCGAACATGTTTCAGGGGGGCTTAGTGTGAGCTTATATCAAAAACGTCTTCGCTAGCGATTGCGTAAAAAAAATTACATTAATTGTATGACAGATTGTACAGCGTCCCTCGGATACTTTCAAGAACTAAATCTTCATAGATTTTTTTGATAGCCGGCATGTAGTAGTGAGACATAATGTTTAGGGATTTATATTACAGGTTTAAAAATAGCTTCAATAATGCTTTAAGTGCTTGTTGAAATGTGGGAGGTGAGAGGTTTTCCAGACATTAAAAAATACTTAAAGGACAAAATATTTTGACGCTAAAACACAAAGAAACGTATCAATAATGTTATTAAATAGCAAATTGAGAACACAGTAAGATTAAAAGTAGTTTCTTGAAGCTTTCCAAGTAAAATAGTTTCAACATAAGTAGTTTTGAATTTACTTAATTTGCGCTTTTGTCTAAATACTTAAGTACTAAGGCCACGTGTAAACATGTAACTTGGAACTGGAATAGTTCAGTTAAAACCGGTTTATTCGTAGATAAGACAATTAATTCAACGTAACATCAAGTCATGTCCTTCAAGCGCCGACTCTATTACAGAACTACGTGAATTGTCAAAATTTTAAGCCCATTGTAATTAGATATTCAAAGGGCTACTGTAAACAAACAGACGCTAAACCACAGTAAAAACTTAGTAACAAAACTTGGAGTTAGCTCCTCAATTAGGGAAAACAATGTAAAAGCGCAAGCAAAGTGAGCAGAGATCTGAAATTAGTAAATACTCAAACTTATTGGTAAATGAGTTCAAACATCATAAGTTTTCTATTGCTAAAATTCAATCTATGGCAACTACATACAATTATTATTAAATTGATTATGTCTAATCTCACTGTGTACTGTGTCATTAATTTACATACTCTGGCTATTTTAAGTAGAGATGGCTAACTAAACTAGTGATAAGTTAAGTTAGCCATCTCTACTTAAAATAGCCAGAGTATGTGAAAGAAAATTTTAATCGCTAATTTAGATGTTTTACTGTTATTTTTTATNTTTTGAGCTGAAGTATTACAGCTTCACTCCAAGAACCTTGTTGTGATTTTCTTTTATATTTATTTACCATCTAAAAAGTCAAATAATAAGAGATTAATGTTTACACTAAAGTCTGTTTTTCTTTGCTTGTCCAATATTGTAAACAATCTTAATATTTATTTTTAACGAAATAATTCGTTTTAAAATATGATAAACACAAAGCTCACAACCTACATAGGTAAGTCATCGTTGAACACCGATATCTTTTCAAATCATATAATTTTTTTTTTTCACTGATATTACTTTAAAATTTATAAAAAGATTGTTTACATTGTTCGACTAGCAAAGAAAAACGGACTATACCATAAATATAGAGGACTAACAATAAAAGCAAGTTAGTTTATATGGCTATGAAGAGGGTAAAGTGAGCATGCTCATTTTGCCCTGCTCACTTTGCCTTTTGCGCCACACCACGTTTCATAAAACATAAACTATAATTCCTTTTAAATAATTTTCAAGGAAATATCCTTAAACACGGTAAATTAGGTGCAACACATAACGCATACATTGATAATAACGTACGTTACTCAGTTTAATCCAAAACACAACGAACATACCTTTGTTTTTTCAAATAAAATTGACGAATTTCGTTTATCGCTGTCCACGCGTGGTGTTGTCACTCGGAGGTGGCGCATACGACTTCCGCAGGAGCGGCGGGGCGGGGGGATAACGTTAACAAGACAAGACAACAAGTCGAGCAAATGAGTGTAAGTTTAGAGGGGGGTGCCCGCTTTAGGCGGAGTGCCCGCTTTGGGCCAGTCTCCCCTAAGTACTAAAGACACGTGTAAACAAATAACTTGGTACTGGAATAGTTCAGTTAAAACCGGTTTATTCGTAGATAAGACGATTAATTCAACGTAACATCAAGTCATGCCTTTCAAGCGCCGACTCTATTACAGAACTACGCGAATTGTCACAAACTTAAGCCCATTGTAATTAGATATTCAAAGGGCTACTGTAAACAAACATATGGTAAACCACAGTAAAAACTTAGTACTTAGTAGTAAACTTGGAGTTCGCTCCTCAATTAGGTAATAATGTAAAAGCGCGGACAAAGTGAGCAGAGATATTAGAAAAATAAAAATTAGCACACGCTCTTTCCTTACATTTTTATTGATATCTGAAATTAGTAAATACTCAAACATATGGCTAACGAGTTCAAACATCATAAGTTTTCTATTGCTAAAATTCAATCTATGTCAACTACCTAATTCTAGTACCTAGTTCTAAATTATTTTTAAATTGATATGATCTCACTCTGTACTGTGTCATTAATTTATAGACAGATTGATAATGTACTTTTTATTGTATACCTACCTATATAAAAGTTGACAATTAAGTTTAAAAGGCACACATCGGACTTATCGCTAGTTAGCAATCTCAACTTGATAGCCAGAGTATGGGACAAAAAATTGTAATCGCTAATTTGTTTTACTGTTATANTACTGTTATTTTTTATTGTGTCCCATTAAGGGCACGAAAACATCTGTGTTATCTGTCACGGCCTACCTTGCGGTGATCAACACTTTTTGCCCATTCCCTGCCAGCGCACTTTGAACTCTCTACCCCAGTGTTAATGCCCTCATTTAAATAAGTACCCTGATAAGGTAGCCAGGGGTTCTAATTGAATTTTATTGTGTTATTGGCAGGAAGAGAGAACCTTTACATTTTTGTACAAAGCAGCCTGATTTCACGAATCCGTTTCATTTAGGGGCGTAGCTGCAAAATTGTTTTGATTTTCATTATTTAAGATTTTAATTATGAGCAATAGATGTTCATTCATTGCCTTTTGAAAATCTTAAGGGTTGACAAGCTTAGAACTAAATTCTATTCGCTCGTATAATTAAAATCTGTCTGCAATTGAAGTCGTTTTCCTTTCAAGCGACAACTTTAAAGGATTTGAGAAAATTGTCTCAGATTAAATAATGGGATCGCGAATTTGGAGTAATTTAAGTCGAAATTATGAAATAGATAAGGAATTTGATAGATCTTTGGGACGGATCTAAAGAGTAAGAAATGAGTGATTATACCTACTGCTACACAAGTAAGTAGATAATTAATACTAATAATTACTTATGAATGAGTTTGTTAACACTTTTGCCGCATTGAAAATAATTATGAAAATTC